GGACGTGGGCTTATCATCCCATCCACTTGAATTACGACACGTGTTGTCCTTGCCTGCTAGATTTTACGCGAGCTCCCGCAAACAAGGGTTCACCACACGCACATTAGGTTCGAAATCTGAATTCCTAACAGATAACGAAACGAACATGCAACTTTTACTTTTCTAAAAAAAAAGAATAAACTGTTTCCAAACCGAACTTGACAAATAACCATCCCTAACACAAACCCCATTTTACTTCATCTTCATAATTATGAGCACCAGCATCACTATATATATATATATACACACACCCCATTTACTACCCACTAACCACCCTTCCCACCCCAATTACTCCCTCAAAAAATAATAATAATCATGCAGACCTCAATTAATGATTATCCGACAAAAAACTTAATGAGGAACCCCACTCCGTCCACCAAATGTAATTTATCTAATCTTACGAGATGTTAGCATATGGTACTTTCACACCCACAAAAAAAAAATCACAGAACTTTCATCATTAATACATATATAATCCCCAGTTGGAGAGATGTCAACTCCTCTTGTTAACAATGTGCAAGGCAGAGCCTCTTAACACATCGTTGGCAAAACACTACACTAATCTCACGTGCCAAGCCAATCTTTGGAACTAATTTTCATGCCTTTACCTAATATACACGCATGCGTGTGAACTCACGTCTACAACTGCGCTTAGGACACTAGACTAATATATTGTCAACATCCTCCTTCCTTCACAAGGAATTTTGAGATCTTGCATGCTGATAGAACTCATCCCGTAACAATCGAAATTAGAATCCACCCAAAGACAAATTTGTTGAGGGACGATGTCAAAGTCTTATACGGCATTGACCAATCCCGTATTTAGTCATTGTATTATCTAATAATACGCTGATAGCTTCTCGATAGGGCGGCTTTGCACTTCTTGTGCTCCTCTCCCTATCGTTCTTCTGCCGCCGCTACTGTCGCATACCGGAGGATCGGATCACTATCTTACCAATCTTGATAGAACTCACCCCATCATAGGTCTAATTAAATCCCTCTAAGATGTATGAGTAGAAATTCAAGAGATATCAACCAATTTTATACTTAAGCGTAAACAAGAAGAGCACAAAACATATAAAACGATGCAGCAAGTTAAATGAAGAGTGGTGATCGGATAATTTTACAAATGCAGAGCAATAATTATAAATGTAACGGGAATGGTTTAGGAAAGACGTTTTGACTGAAACAGATAGAGGGGCACGTGCAAGAAGTATGGCAGGAAAAGGCAAAAGTCCCACCAAGGGAACAAATGTAACAGAGCAAATGACAACCACTCAGCAACAAGAGAGAGAGAGAGATGGAGGGGCCCATTTGTCTCAATTTCTTTATCTCCTTTTAATGGAAAAAAAAAAAACCTTAACAGAGAAGATGGGCTCCACTACCGGAATCCACGGGAGTCCATGTGATGCCCGACCACCCGCTGTACCCGGGAATTCAACCCTTACTATTTTTACCCGGAAACCCCCCCAATAAAATATAAAGCAAAAGAACTCGAAGCTTATCCCACGTACTATGTTTCCTCTTTCAATCTTTACACTCCTATGCAACTAAACACAATATATATATATATAGGATATCTATGTTAAACAGGTTACACCTGGCTTTGCATTGAAAAAAAAGACCTACTACAAATTGGATAATCAAATAAATCGATGCAATAGTGAATTCTTCCAACACGATAATTATCCAAAAAGATTTCGCACAGCTCTTCTTAGTCTTCAAGTCTACTACTGGGACTCGAAAACTGTTCATCAAATCAAAACTGGTTTTGGCATGTCCTAACACATGAAACAAACCTAACGAGAAAACATGATACAACGACACTTTAACCATTAGGGATGCTCTAAAATATGTATCATTGGTTCACAACAACACTGTAATTCTACGTTGAGCTTGGTGGTAACTAGATCCGGAGTTCAATTATAATCAGACACAATCCATATCTAAAGAAAGCCCCTGAAGCTAAAAAAATCCGATATTTCTATGGATAGAACACTTACGTATAGTTATTAGGAAAAACAATCACAGAGATGAAACTATATTTTCGCCAGCAGCGGCTAATGACAATGAAAAGAGGCAGTTTTGAAATGAATGAGCAAATCAATCAACCAAGCATGAATCGAGAAAATAGGAAATCAATTTATAGAACTAACAACGGTGGACTGACGAGGATTGATTAATAGCATAAAAGGCAGATTAGCACGACAAGAAACCAAAGCATGACTTTAAGAAATAGCTGGATGACCGCAACAGTCACATGTGAAAGGAATCTAAATCCAGAGTGTGATTCATTCAGGTGAAATAAACTCATATATCCAGCATAAAAAAAACACAAGCAAAAAGGGAGAGGATGATCAAAGCAAAAGGTAAGTTGTACTTTGGACAAGCTAAAAAATAAACAACACAAAACCCGCCCACCATAGACATTTTCAACTGCAATGTGAGCTATTATTTTGGAACTTTTCCATCTGATTCCCCACGCAACCTCAAATTAAATTAATGGTAATACGACGTTGCTCGATCCCTTGAAGTATTTGCAACTTTTCCACAATAAACAATATTTAACAAGTACAATTCGAAACTGCACCCAAAATCTACAGTAGGCAAAAGTATGACAATGAAAAGCTGAAAGCCCACGAGATTTGCCTCAGTTCTATAACTTTCCAGCTAGTTATTTGAGTTGGAGATGAAGAAGAAATAAACAACTAATGTGAATCCATAACAGTTGTCGAGGACTATATTTGCTACCCATGTTTTCTCACTCCTATTTGTGCACTCGTTGTTATAATTCCCACGTGATCAGTAGACTCGTAAGGTAAACAAATTATTCTTAGTTTTTTTTCCCTTATAACTGAACTTTTGTACTGTGTATAACCTCATACATCATGCAAATTTCAGACATTGGATGTGTAGACCTTAACTCTTAAAAAAATGTACCGTAATTGAATGATTACATTTCATTTGAATCATAACCATAATTTAATGCTCTCTGAGACACTATGTCGTATGATTCTTCATCCAATCTTCACTTTTTTTTGGTAACCGAACATCCTGGATCAAGGTCCTGACTAATCTCAGAGTTGGGAGTCAACCATGTGATTTGAATTATATGCTCCGTCCTAAACTTGAGATTTGAATTCGGGACGGGACAGACGCTTTGCGTCCACGTTTTACCAATTGAACTACCCAAGTTTAGGTATCTTCACTTCTTTATTGTAAGCTATTAGACAAAACGTTATTGTGATGAAGAGTTTCTTGATTTATAAAGAAACTAATACGGAAACGAATGAAGCAAAGTTGCACCAACCTTGAATGGCATTTCGTTTTTTTCTAAAATCATAGAACAATATCGGGAAAGGGTAAATTCTAGGAAACTAACAAGAGCTGCTACTTTAATCTTTTTATTTATTTATCCAACACAAGACGACAATGTCGTTAAAACCACCGCATGCAGATACGATCAGCCACTTGGCCGTCAAACTATTTTCGATACTTAACCCTAATCTCCATGCGTCTAATCCAACCACTGGATATGGGAATTTGAAATCCATTAAAGTGAGATTTCAAGTTTTATCTAAGATAACAAAAAAAAAATACCATCATTATATCCAGCTTCATTATTTCATCTAATAGTTTCCTTCCAAACATGAAAAAATGGTATTATGTGGGAGAGAGAATAAGGATAAAACCCAGTCTAATACAAGAGAGTCGAAAGCCAATTTTGACATGGGTTGGGGTGGGAAGAGAGACAAGATTTAGCCTCCACCATAATTCATCAAAAATTCCAGCTGAAAACATGTGATAGACTACAAACTCTACTTTTTCCCGGATTCCATTTTGGAGCCCAAAGGAGGATTAAGTGCTTTGACCATCGGTTAGAACAAGTATCCAACCAAGATGACACGAAGCACTCCAAGAACCGATAAGCTAAACAGGTTTTACCAATGGATAGATAAAGACAAACAACCACAAACAAGCAAGAGATGCACTCCTTCTTGGATGATTAAAACAGCTAGTGGTCAAGTAATGAGCTAAAGAAAACACTACAATGTCATTTCACTGTTACAAGTTATGACTAGGTTTCTGTATCACTATAATTTTACTAGAAGAATCAATGGGTAAAAACTATTCAGCACGCCTGAGGAACTGAAACGTCAAAATCAGAATCCATAACAAAAAAAAATTAAAAAAAAGCCTATTTTCTTTCTGACACAAGGGAGAAAAGATGAAATACAAGTATAAAGTTACAACGAATGACACCACAAGATCACCAGGAAAAATGCAACCAGAAGAAGACCACCCACGACCCACCCCCACGGATAAAACATTAAATGAGTAAAATAATGGTATAACACTGTATCAAGGTCATGGATCCACCTTAGCATGACCTTTTTTTCTCTCCAGAAATCACTATACGCAAGCAAAAAAGCAAACAACAGACGACAGCAACCACAAAATCATTACAAAAACCAGCAAAGGAGACGCAGAAATATGTGATCGAATTCATCTAACATCTCCTAGTCTAGGGCTCTCCTTTTTTTTACTCGGAATGTTATTTTCTCCGCGGTCAGTTTTATTGCCTTGAATCTTCGGTTATTCTTCAACCGGAATTATAAAGCTCTTATTTTTAGTCGGTGAGATTTTTTTCTTTTCCCTTATCTCTTCGCTGTTTTCATTTTTAATTTTTTTTTTGTCAGCGATTCAAAAGAATGATTACGAGAAGCTTCAGTAAACAGTTTTAAAATCATCAGAGAGGCCTATAAGGGATCAAACTAGGAAAGTTTCGGGGAGCGATTCACCCGATCAGGGAGGTGAAATTAGAGGAAGGTTTATGTAGACACAAAGATCGAGGAAAGGCTTATAAACAGCACAATCATCAAGAAAACCACTACGAGACTCAAAACAAACTGAAACAACAAATTAATGGCGGAGCAGAAAGAGGGAGATTTAGGACTGACCCGAAAGGGCTCTAGCAGACGCCCCAGTGGTGCAGAGGTTGCGGAGCTGCGTTTCAATCTTGTTCAAGAAGTTCGTAGCCTCGTCGAACGGCCTCGCCAGATCGGATTTGTATTTCACCAATATGTCGCAGTAAGTTTCCTACAATCATACCGCGCAAAAAAATACTAAAAAAAGAAAAAGAAAAAGAGAAACAACCCCACAAAACGGAAGACCGAGAACGAGAAAGACGAAGGTAGAGATGGAAGGAGAGTACCATGAATTCATCAAGCTCAGGATCAGCTCCTAAGCAAGACAAGGGAGCAACACCTCGTTTGTACAAACTGCTCTCCCGCTGAATCTCGTCCAGCAAACCCGCGATCTCCGAAGGAGCTCCCACCTGCGCCACCGCCAAACCACACCGCCTTTATTTTTTGTTGATTTACCCATAAAATTATGCAAAATTCATGCCAATTACACAGTGGACACATACAAATACGCGAATACGCATGCGCGTATATGCTACGGAGCATGGAAATAACTGATGTTTGATCTCATAAAAAACTTAAGAGCTTAATAAACTCAGGCAAATGAAAAATGAAGGATCGTAAGTTCATAACGAAAAAAGAGGAAGTATAATTAAAAAACAGAATCGCATTAACATAGTCCAACATCTTGCTGATTCTTAGGTTTTATCGTTAGGTTTTGTCTGAGTGTAGCAGCGAGTTATAATCACCTTCTGGCAATCGATGTAGGCCTGGAGTAACCGAGGATACAACGGATGACAAGCAATTTTAGCCTTGACGACGCCGAGGGGGACGTTGTCCTCAGCTCGTCGGATCTCTGGAGGAGCGATCGACACCGCTTCCGATGACAAAGCGGAAGCCGCGGCGGAGAGAAGCTCGTCGGATCCAAACACGTCGGAGACGCGATTCTCTCCGGCAGATGAGCAAATCAAGCTCTGGTAATCAGATGGAAGCATCAGAGCCTCCGGCGACATCATCAGCGCAGCCTTATCCGAGTAGTCTCCCGCCGAGTGGAAACCGTACATTCCATCCATTAAAAAGATCTCGGTGAGAAACGATCGGCGCACGGCGGTGCGATTTTCGGCCGTCTCTCACTTCTCCTGCAGGAACATGAATCGACAAAGAGATGAAATAGCCTGCGAGAGAGAGAATTGCTGGAAATGGAGTGGCAAAGGAGAAAGCCGGAGTGGTGTTGGGGGGCAAGGTTCTTCGCAAGTTTTTGGTCCCTCTCAGAAAAAAAAAAAAGAATTGGGCCAAAAATGTTAAATTACGAAAAAGGACATATACACAACAGAGGCTCGAGCTTCGGCTCGAGATAAGGCCTCCTCCTCGATCGATTTTTTTTAATAATTATAAATATCACTCAACTTAAAAAAAAAAATCATTTAATGAATTTCGAAATATATTTTTCTTATTGATATAATAGAAGCTTATGTTCGGATGAATCTCACTTAGGTTATAAACAATTAAAATATAAAGATATGGAGAACGAAGGATAGGAGACGGGAGAAATTGGGATTTTGCAGAAAAAGAATAATCGGCTAGTCTAATCTCTTACTTTTATACTAATCTAAATAAAACTAGTCTTTTGCTACTTTAGATTAGAGGTAGACAATTTAATTCGGAAATTTAGTCTCGAATCGTATGGAACAGACTGATTTTATTTTAGTTTGGTTCGATATTATATAAAAACATTGAACGGTACAAAATTAAATATTAATATTTATTAATGATATCCATTGTACTTGTTACATAACTTGATTAAATAAATAATACTAATAAGTATCACCTATGGTAGAAATTTATTAACATTTTATTAATTTATTTATTTTTATTATATTAGAATTCTCAAAATAAATTCAAATAGTATCTTACCATTTCGAATCGTTCCATAAAAAATCGTTATGATTTTGATATTTATTCAGTATTTATTTAATAAAATCATATCGTATTGAACTGAACCGAACCGAATAATATAAGATACTAATTTGGTAAAAATTTATAATAACGAATAAATTGTTCTCGAATCAAACTATTAAAATTCACAATTGAAAATGTCCATCCCTACTTTAGATGATGATCAATACCGCTTATAATAATATGGTGTTATCACATAAACACTGGCCGTCAATTTAAGATAGTTTAGGATGATTTTAAACGTTTTATTTTGTAATTCTTGTTTCAATTTTTTTATCTTATATATTGGTTGTATTTAAATATAAAATTGAATTATGATATTATTTAAGAGAAAAAAATGTCTTCCTATACATTCGATATGCATTCCAAGAATTATCACAATGAGTGATGAAAAATAAAATAGAGATGATTTCTATATGTAAAGAAGTCTCTAATTATAACCCAAGTGCGGATCTCTTAAGAAATTATTTGACTCAGTTTAATTGAGTTTTAACCAATTTGGTGAGGACATACATATGGGTGAGTGTGACTGTTGTTGACTAAAATTTTATATTTCAATAATTATGTATAGTAAATAAATCGAATTATATTGTGATTATCCGATATCCTAGGGAATCGAGAAAAAGTTTGATGAGTAATAATATAAAAATATACGAGCGTCGTATCAAGACTTGTATATATGTGTGTGTATATATGAATGTAATATATGTAAGTATATGTATAGGAGTATAGGTATGCTTTTGCCCGGTAGAGAGGAGAGGGCAGAGATCTGATGGAGAATCGCACCACGTCCGATGTTGGACTCCTCCTTTTGTACGGAACATTGCGGGTTTCCCGGGAATCATCAAACCATATGGAGACTCGGTCTTCTCTCTTACCGTATTTTAATTATTTATTCCCAATAATCCTTAACATAATCAAGAATTCAAGCTACCCAACAGTATTTAAATTTCATATATATATATTATATATATAAGAGTTCTCAGAGAGAGTCTGCTCACTTCTTTCAGTTATATATTTCAATTTCAAATTTAATCATAATTGAAGAGATCATTTTGGTTAAAATAATTGAGGATGTCCACAAAATAAAATAAAATTTCCAAAGGAACCATTCTTTTAGTTATGTCTGCCGCTTTCCGAGTCTATCCTATATTTTAAATATTTTTTTAGTACAAAAATGCCATATTCTGCTGAAGATATTATTTATTAATGTTTAGAATTAACAAACGCTAGTACATGATTCCCCCATCAAAATTCAAAAGGGTACGTGAAAAATTTCTCCAAAAACTATTTTCTGCACGAAATTATTCGAAACTTGTTTATATAATCGTATACGTTTAGAACTTTTGATACGTATGCTGGAGAATGGTCGTAGTCGCATATCCGTGTAAAATTCATAAAAACGGTTCCTTTCATTTATGTACTCGATATTTTATAATCAGTTGAAGTTTTCATGTGTTATTAACCATTATTATTATAGTCGCACAACATTGTTATCTCGACATTTCATGTGTTATTAACCATCCATATATATAATGTAACTATAACCCATATTATGTATGACCCACAACAAATGGATATAATAGTTTTCTTAATCGATTTCTGCATTAATTTCTTCCTTATCATTTCTTCCTATGCCCATTGAATTGTTTATATCTATCCTTGCAATACATTTTTTTTTGTAACTAGGTATTCTGAATCAAGGTTGAGATTAATCTCGGAATCGAAAGTCAATCATGTGATTTGGATTATACGTTTTCTCCATAAATTTGAGATTCGAATTTGGGACGGGACATATGCTTTGCATCTCGTTTCACTGGTTAAACTATCCAAATTTGGGTACAATTTTTTTTGTATTAATCTATTGCGTTTGATATTATATACTCCTTATGGCCTGATGGAAAATTTGCGAGGTTATGAGGAATGGATCGACTAAAACAATTATTTTTTTTTTGATAATCCGGAAGTTCATCGGGGCTTTGCCCCGACTACAACTCCGAGAGAATAGGGAAAGCCCAGGTGAATACCCTTCTCTACGCTTAGATTTGAACCTATGATAAAAGCATGTTTTGCATGTTCTCTTATCGCTAAAACAATTATGATATCAAACATATGTCATGTCACGTATAAAATAGAAGGTAACTAGAGGTTTCAGTCATCTAATCTAACTTTGAAAAAAAAAACGAATTTAGAGTATGATCTGAACCGACAATGATTTACAGAAGTTATCTTTAATCTCTTTCATTAATTTTCATATTTTACATTTTTTTCCACAAATGCATACACATTTAATTGGAAGTTTTCCCTACGGGCCATCAATGATTGGTCATTCGACTTTTATTGTTTCCATCCATGTGTTAACAATAATAACGCTCCAACTCATAAAGGGTCAAGTGCAGCATACCCGACCCGATGACCCGTAACCTTTATCGGGTTTCTCGTGTTTTTTGTTTTGTTAGAGAAAGTATTAGGGGTCTTGTCGTTGATGGACAGCTTGATTGACCCATCCATTTTTGGGCCATTAGGTTGCCTGACAAAAAAGCTAGGGTTTCGTATCGGATCAGATAAAATCCTCAGAGCTTTCCCTCATTGTCCACCGTCCGATCAATCCACCGTTGATCACTCACGCTCCTTACGTTATCGTATTAATGATTGTATATAGCAACAGATATTGAGTATCTTAAATTCTTCATGAGATCAATGGCGAATGATCTAAGATCCTTTCACCGTTAAATAGCTGGAAATGAAATATATATATATATATGTGTGTGTATGTGTGTGTGTGTTATATTTGAAACTGGGGGGGTGGGGGCAATAGTTGTGCATGAACAGTTAACCTCCCACACCCTTTTTTTTCAATACATGAAATTCGTCGCCCCATATAATATAATATGCTTTTGTAATAAGTTAAAAGATATGATGATACACACACACACACGCAATGGGGGCAGGAGAATAGATGCGACATGGTTTAAAAAAATAGAGTCAGTATTCCGCTTTCGGTAAGAGATTATTACTATATATTACACCGGCCTCTGCCATGTTTTTTTATATAATTTCCATGGAGACGCACGTGCGTTTTTTTTCTTTTATCATACCCAAACTCTGGGGACGTCGTGGGCATGCATTAAAGCACAAGACATCATCGTGCAAAGTGTATGATAGTTTTGTTCTTTGTTTGCTGCATATGTTTTTGTGAAGTGGTCCTGGATTTGGGTGTGGTCCATTTTACACAGAGAGACGTTGCTGTCTTTGTTCGTTATGTTATAAAATTTCCCAATTTAGGGTTTGAGACAACCAACTTGTCCCTTTGATTCTCTCGATTTCTCCCTTGTGGTCCTTCTCCTCCTCCCCTTTTTTTTTTTTTTTTTTTCCCCCGTTTCTTCTTCGAGCTACCACCAAAAAAAAAAAATGGAAGCAGAATAAGAAAAAAGAATGCATCGTTTTCATGCCCTTTCGCT